CTGTGTGGGTCACCCTAAGACTTGAGGCCTTGGTATCCCACATTCTGAATGTCCCCCAAACCTGAACAGCGACCTGGAGGATGATTCCTGATGGCCCTCTGCCTGAGATTCTCACCTGCGGCTCCTCCTGCCCAGACAGACTGAGGCAGAGCAGGTGGGCAGAGCACCTCTCAGGAGTCTGCAACCTGGTGCTGTGCTGGCACAGCCTCCATTCTGTCCCCAAAATACCCTGACTGTGAAGGCAGAATTTTGGTTCAGCTTGAAAAGAGAGTTTGGAATGCATGGAGCAAATGGACAGTTAGCAGACCCCTGCAGTACCTGTCATCAAGCACTTCTGGTCTGCAGTGAGGAGGGTGTGGAAGACAGGGGGCAAAGGAAGGAAAGGAGACAGGTTCTTTAACAAGAAGGCAGTACAAAGTCCCAGCACAGTGCAGAAGGAGGCACCTGTTCCAGGCCAGGTGCCGTGAGGCCATTGCTTCCCAGAAAATGACCAGGAGCTAAATCCAACAGTGAGATTGCAGAGTGTCCTGCAGATTTCATGGTATGTTGAGGCTAAGTGCAAGAGGAAAGAAAAGAGTAACACTCTTAAACACATAAAACTCCAGAAACAAGGAACGAGGGAAGATCCGGGAAGGTGAAGGCCTCTGGGTAGATGCTGCTGTGAGAGCAGCACCCTGGCCATCTTGGGTCAGCCTAAGAGCATCTCAGGAGGGAGGGGAGAGACTGTCCCTCACGTAGGACTGTAGAGCACTACCTCATAGAACTGACTCTAAAAACACAGGGGCCAGGGCCTCAGGAGAGAAGAAACCCAGGCTAGAGACTGGCACCGGTCAATGAAACTGTGGACTCACAAGGACCCCAAGTAGACAATTCCTCCATCCTCAGCTCACTTCTGGTCTATTCTTGGGGTGACCAGGAAGCATTCAACAGGGCCCCACAGGTCCTGTAGAGGCAGCCCTGTCCAGCTCCAATGGGCCATCCTCACTGGAAACAGTCACCCTGTCTGTCAGGCTCTCAGTATGAGGTAAGCAGATAAACAAAAAGAAATTCAGTCTGAAGCCTTGCTGTCTTGACATAAATTTCCCAGGGGGAATTCCTGTCACTAGCTTAATATTTAAAAAATGAATCAAAGAGCCAGGCATGGCGGTACACATCTATAATCCCAGTGACTCAGTAGGCAGAGGCAGGAAGAGCCCAAGAACAAGTCCAGCCCAGCAATAAGATAGAGCCCCTGTCTCAAAAACAACATGAAAAGGGAAGAGGGGCAGGCTAGGGAGCTCTTGCCTAGCATGTATGAGCTCTGAGTTCAATCCTAGTATGACAAATTAATCAATTAAAAGAATAAAAATGGGCTAAAGACCAAGAAAGAGGAGCTCTGAGAGGCTGTCATTCCAGGGCAAGGGCCAGGACTACATACGGCCTGCTGTGGCTGCAGTGGGAGCTCGGCTGGTCCTGTGCCTCCCCAGGAAGGCAGCACTGGCTCTGCAGGTAGCATAGTCAGTCCGGGGTCTCTCACAGCCACTATCTGATGAAAATCTGTAAGCAGACAGGTTTCGGGCAGGAGTTTTGCTTTATCTTAGTATCATTCTCTGTTCCTCCAGGTCTTCTTTTAAGAAGTGTTATCTAACAAACATGGTGTACTAACAATGTAAAAACCCACAAAGGAATATGCTTTAGAAAAGACAAATCTCAAACACGATTTATGCCAAAAATGGGCTACACCACAATTAATATTTACTTGCCACATAATTTAATTGTTTTATATTAAATATTCTGAGCTATTTGTGTTCCTTTTTATTTTTAATTAAGTTTTACAAAATATTGGGTTTCATAGTGACATTTTTGTTCATGTATAAATATACTTCAGTCCTGTTCACCCCCCCCAGTGACTCTCTCTTGTCCCCTTCATCTCCTCCTATGTCTCCCCTCTCCCCAAAAAAACCCCTCTTCTGCTTTCATGTCTTATTTTTTTATCAAGGTCCCGCATAAGAGAGAAATGTGGTATATGTCTTTTAGAGCCTGGTTTAGTTTGCTTGATATGATGATCTCTGGTTTCATCCATTTTCCTGAGATGACATGTTTGTTCTTCCTCTCGTCTGGAGAACACTCCCTGTGTATGCAGCACCTTGTCCGTTCACCTGGAGTTTCTTGACAACATTATTCACTTGAAAATGCTTTTTTTTGTAACTTCAGTTTGACAAAAGAATTTACTTTAAAGGGCTATGTTGTTACAGCATTACACAGCTGCATGGGTCATCAATATATGAATTGTTTTAATTTTTCTTAATAATGTCTTTTTCTCATTTCGTGCTTATTTGGGGATAGGTTTAATGATTGCCATAGCTTTTCCTATTTTATTCAAGAATACTCTGGTATTGTTTTTCCTTTCTGTTCTTCCATACTTCCTATTTCTTTATACCTACAATTATTCTGCATATTTAAAACTACAGCTGAGTTGATCCTAACCTCTGGTCTTTCTTTGAATTTGTGTAACTCTCGGTCCACACCAAATTACTAGGGTCTTGCACAATGCCGAAGAGGCAGCCATTAGTGAACCTGCTGAATTAATCAACAGCACCCACCCCACCCCTAGGGAGCAGAGCTTCATATATTATTAGCATAGATTAGCTGTGCAGGGTGGGGGTTCGTTGTGACACTTGCTTACAATGAGCCTCAGTTAGGTTCCCCCTCCATCTCTCTTCCTGATCCCCCTCACTTAAAATAGTTCCAACAGCTTTCATTGTTCTATTCCACATAAGCAATATATAGCTTTTGTTGCTTACTTATACCACCACATTCATAAATGAGAAATCGAAATCCAGAGATGTTACACACATTAATAGATTGGTACACAGTGATGACTGTGTCACTGCCCATTCCATTTATTGATTGCTTAACAATGAACTAGACACCTTTTGTGTATCATCTAATTTAGAAAATGTACATTCTAAAAAATTAATACTTACAGAACAGGATGCTCGAACCTTAAGTTGGTAGGTGGAGGTGCTATGAAAACCCCGTTCTGTCTGATTTAAGTCATTTAACCATTAAATGTCTTATTGGCTGGTTGAGCTGCTTACAGGATTAACCCATCACTGGGGCCACAGTGCTCCTTCACAGGTCAGTGGAGACATTTCCCTTCTTTTCTGACTTCCTTTCTCTCTTCTTCCTTCTTCTTCCCTACCTCCATCTCAGAAGTAGGGAAGGGGGAGAACCCCTTCTCTCTCTCCCTTCCTTATCGTCCACTCCACCAGCCAGTAGGCACAGGTGCATCAGACTCAGAGTGTGTGGGAGCCACCTCTGCTCTGGAGTTAGGCACTGTCTGACCCATGAAGAGTCTGGAGAAAGTTTGAGGGAAATTATTCTAGCCAAAGGAGGGGGCAGGGAGAAGTGCTTTTGTTTTAAACCGTGAGGCAAAGAGGACAAAAACTACACCTGATCGAATTCTTTTCTCTGTCAGAAGACGTATGGTTTCAAACCTTCCACGGTCCATGTTGTGTCCTCAGGAAGATGTGAGTGAAGACTCAGGCACTGATTTAATGTCTGCATGGATGAAATTAGCCTTCCAGGAAAAGCAAGTTCACAGGGGAAGGAGTGAAAGCTCAGTCCCTAGCAGTCAGCAGAAACTGACTGGGAGTGCAGGTCTCCAGGTCAGAAGAGGACAGGGCTGTCCTGGGAAGGTGACCCCATGTGTCCAGGGCAGAAGAGGACAGGGCTGTCCTAGGAAGTGACCCCATGAGTCCAGGTCAGAAGAGGGTAGGGCTGTCCTGGGAAGTGACCCCATGAGGCCTCGCTCTGCTTCTTATCTGATTGCACCGTCCACTTTCCTGGTGCTCCCAGGAGGAACTCCTGGAAAGCTGAAATGACCCTGGGCACTGCCTGTCCGTGGGAATTGGCCCCTGAAATGCAGGTGCTCAGGTGTAGAGTCCTGGGCCATCATTTCTGAGCGTTGCCGGCTCCTCTTTCACTCTATCTGGTGAGATTTAAAACAGCCCAGTTTCTTACCTATCCCCATACCTCCCGTATGTGCGCTCCCCTTGTCACGTGACCCAAGTCCAACAACACTACTACATTTGCTCTAGATCTAAAGTCCGCATATGAGGGAGAACATACTTCTCTTCAACGAAATTGGAGAAAAGGGCAGAACAGGTTCTGCCTGGAAGCACGGGGGGGTTGGGGGGGCGGGAGGAGAAATGGCCCAGACAATGAATGCACATGTGAATAAATGAACTTTAAGGAAAGATAAAACAGCCTGGTTAACTAGAAGATCCAGAGACCCTCAATGCCTTGGGATGAGGGAAGCAATGAGCACCCACAAATGTTGCCAGGGACCAGCGATCTGATGCTACTGCCCAGGATGCTCTGGGACCCCAAGGAGTCCAGATTCCCTGTCCAGTGCTTCAGCCTTCTGGCTTTTCTGGGACTGGCTGAGCAGCCTTGTCACCTTGAGAAGGGAGTGTGGTTTGCAGAGAGTGCGGTGCAGGCATGCTCTTCCTGTACTGCAGAGCTTTAGGCAATTGCTACCCTCCCTTTGAGTATCTGTTTCTTTATTGTAGTTAGTGTAAAGCTCGAATTATGGGTAAATGGCACAGTGGAGGAGAAAGTGTTCTATGAGGGACTCTAGCCCTGTCAACTTCAAGGACACCGGCCACAGTGTCTGGAGAGGTCGCAGACTAAGTGCTGCTCACAGTGGAAACCTTGGCGTAAAACTCACCCCCGAGGCTGCGTGTAGGCTGGCTAGACCCCAGATCTGGGATAGTGGAGGGGATTCAGTGGTCCCTGGTCTCACAAGCTCACTCCAGGCAGGAAGGAGACTTCCCAGGCACATGTCCAGACCCGTCCTGAGCAACAGCCAGGAACCGCCATGCCACCAAACCAAAGAGTGGCCTAACATTCAGGAGGAGGTGAAGAGTCTGTGGCCGATTACAAAAGTGTATGTCACCCTCGATGTTTCCTGAAATCCTTGGTGCTTTATGTTGTTCTTTGTGTTTTTCAGATGGAGAAATCAAGGCACAGAGAAATTAAGTGACTTTGCCATAGTCACAGGCTGGGAAGGACCAGGAATAGAGCCTAGAGAGCTCCTGGCTCTGGGCCTGCGTCCTGCTCACGGAGTCACCCTGCCTCCATCCTCGGGAGAGGAGGCTTCCTGCAAGGTAAGTGCCACCTGCCCCCCTAGGGTGTGCGTCCTCTGGCCCTGCACACAGGCGTGGCTGCTGTGTGTGCTCAGAGCTGGGTGGTAGCATACACTGCCCAGGTGTGCAGGAATACCTACAGCAGGAGTGAGCTCCTCAGGCACTCAGGTCACAGCCTGTGCACAACCTCTTCACAGACCTCTGGTGTCTCGGGCAGCTCGGTGTCCCCTGCTTTGCCTGCACCCAGTCTCTGCACTTGCTTATATCTATTACCTCTTCCTCTTGGAGGGTGAGAGCTCTCTCCTGGGACACAGAAAGAATGGGAGAGAAGCTTCCATCCGCCCTGTGGAACTCTTTCCTTGCTCTGTCCTGTTGGGGTCACCCTGCTGTCCATATGGTCAGTCCACTGCAGGGCCTCCAGACACACGGGCCACCCTGCCTTCTCCCATGGCCTCTCTGGGAACTCACCACTGACTTCCTGAGAGCCATGCGCCAGGCAGGGAAGGACTGAACACAGACCAGCCCCACGTCCATCGCCCCATGGTGAAACCTCTGCACCCAGCCCCATGCAAGCTGAGGCCACCTCTGCTGGCCACGTCACTCAGCCACAGAATCTGTGGTAACAATTTAGCGATTCTTGTTTTTCCCCACACTCTTCCGGAACTTTCTCCCTTCTTCTCTTCTGTTCTACCAGGGTCTTCAGGTCATCATCCTGTTGTTTGGGAAAGTCTTATAAGGATACACTTTTTGGTGACCCCCAGCCCCAAAACCTCCTTGCAGTGAGGGCTGTCCTCATTAGAAGGGTGACTCAGGAAGAAGGACGCACCTGACCCAGGAACAGTGTCCAGCAGCCGAGCTTAGCAACAATCCATCCCAAAACTGATCACAGTGGCATGGGGCACACAGCACCTCACAGCACCCACAGGGTCAGCAACGCCTCTCCCTGTGTGTGTTGAGGACTTGACTGTCCTCCACATCTGTCATGCGCACTCATGTCATCTGATCCTCACATCAAACACACAGGAAAGCATGGCTCTTATCTCACAGCGTGTGTCATGGAACTGAGGCCCAAGATGCGAGACTTGGTGGGTGGGGAGTACACATTCAAACTCCCCATTCCCACGCGCCGTCCATTTAGTGACTTTGGGCATTTCATATCTTCAGTCTTGTGTGGAGCAGCATGTCTGTCCTCCCCTAAATACCAGCGTGCATCACAGGACACACATCCCATCACCCAAGACACTTGCCTCTCTAGCCTTTCTGCTCTTTATTCGTTCAGCTTTCTCCCCGACTTAAAAAGTAGGCAAAACAATTTTGAGAACAAAGAAAACTCCACTTAAGAAAATTATAAAATAAAAAAAAAACACTAGGATAACTTCAAATAGTTATACAGTGGAAAGATTAATATTTTTTTTCCACATGGCCCAAATTGAAATTAGGGAGAAGGTAGAAAATGCTGACAACAGACCACTGCATTCTCAGTATCTCACAGATGTGTCAGGATAAGAGAACAAAGTGTGAAATATGTAGATCTTGAAAATGTATCAAACTGGTATGAAAATTTATTTTAAAAAGAAGAAAAATAGGCAAAGAATGTGATGAGATATCACAGAAGAAGAGACGCCAAGGCCAAGACATGAAGACTGCTTCACCCTGTTAGTGGCTGGGAAGGGCAAGTATGAGCGTGGTGAGAAAACGGTCCTTGCAGCCACAGGAGAAGGCTTAATGCCAGCTATTGGTGCCAGGCAGGGACAGGGGATGGGCTTGACATCAAGGAGTGAGCATGACCATACATGGCTAAAAAGTGCATGGAGTTTACAGTTTAATGATGAACGGATGTTATGTTCTTAGGAAACTCTTCTGTGGGAACGCATGTAAAGATGTGTATATTTATTGCAAATCAGGATAAATAAATGAAATGAACACCTTAAATGTCAACTAGCAGAGGAGCTTAAGGGTCTAGCTGGTTAAGGAGAGTTGAGCCCTTCCAAGGAGTAACACCTGCCATTCAAAAGAGTGCATCCCCTCCACTGTATTGCCCCGCAGAGACGCTGTGGTCTATGGTAAGGCAGAAGTGGCCGGTGATATCAAGGCCTGTGTATTGGGAGCCTGACTCGAACACAGGCTGCTCTGCTGGCCCTTCCTCTTTGGAGTACAGCCATGGCCAGTCACCTCCAGATGAAGAGCTTTTCTAAGGAAGAGATGGCAGCTGTTGCACTGTCTGAGATGTCACCATGCACTCGCCCAGTGACTGCTCTCAATCTCATACTGTAAGAGAAGAAAGGAGATGAAAGTTAGCATTGTTGCTTAGGTCTGAGGGGTCAACAGAGAAGCATCCTGGAGTGTTCAGCCAGAAAACTCCAAGACAGAAGCAGAATAATGGTCTTGCCACTATCAAGGAGATAGATAACCAGGACAGTCACACAGAGCAGAGACCATCTGTGTAGAAAACAGGAGCAGAGCAGTGAGCTTGTCTCAGGAGGACAAGATGTGAGCGAGGCCATGTCCAGATAAATGGGAGAAACTGGGAAAAGAGAGCTAGGAAGCCCACAATCTGATCAACAACTTGAAAGAGGAAAGGAGAAAAGAAGTCAGTCAAATAAGACTTTCAAGGTTTCAGAAGAGCCCAGCACCAGTGGCTCACACCTGTAATCCCAGCTACTTGGGAGACTGAGATGGGGAGGATTATGGTTCGAGGACAGCCCAGTCAAATAGTTCATGAGAGCCGCCTGCCCCATCTCCAAAATAACCAGAGCAAAATGCACTGGAGACGTAGCTCAAGTGGCAGAGCACCTGCTTTGTAAGCGGAAAGCCCTAAGTTCAAACCCCACTCTCACAAAAAAATGATTTCAGAAGAAAAGAATGACCATTTCATTTATTCAGTAAATAAATATTGAGAAACACTGCACTGATACTAGGATATTACATGACCCCTGCTCACAAGATCATACAAATAGTAGAAGAAAACCTTCTTACCAGAACACAGAGAACAAATGCCTATTAAAGGGTTTACACAGTGCTGAGAGAAGAGGGGGCAGTCGGTCAGTAATGGTGTGGGAGGAGAGGTAGTTAGGAGACAGCCCTGACACGAACCTGGTGTTACAGTCTGGAGGCAGCAGGAAATGGCTGGGGAGGTCAAGGAGAGGGTGCTGGTCCAGTCCGTCCCCGCAGAGCAGCAGAGAGAAAGGTCCTCTGAGCAGTATGAAGACCTGGAGTAGAGCCTAGGCACTCGGTGGGAGAGGTAGAGATGGGAATTTGCAGGAAAGTGATGGCTAGCCTCCAATGCTTTGCCCAGTGGGGGAATTGACCAGGGCCCTGGTAGTCTCAGAAAGAAGGATTTTAGATGTGAAATCCAGTATGGTCCAGACTGCATTTCCTTTTTTATGTCACTGTGTTTGCTCTTTGTAGAATATGTGTGACTCTGAGCTAACCTCTTTCCATGGTGTCAGAAAGGTGTGCCCAGCCTTTATACCACCTGAAAGGAAATTTAGAATAACTCAGCAGACTTTTATTTTCCATTCCTGTGCCAGGCAGCTCTCTGGGGGAAGAGGAAGGAATACGCACCACTGCCCTTCCAGGCCCACTCTGGGGCCACCTGGGCTAACTAGTCCTGGCTGGAGGACAACAGAGTGACTTCCACAACATGACCCATCTCCCAGGCTTCCGGGGGGACAGCCCCAGGCATTCTTCTGCCTGACTGAGGGACTTAGGAGGGAGATCCTGTTAAAGGCTTGGCAGTAGAATGCTTGCTCAGCACGTGTGAGCCCCGGGTTCCATTCCCAGCACCGCAAAAATAAAGAAAAGCATAAAACCTATTAAAAACAGAGATTTAGTTGGATTAAGTGAGCTTGTGGAGAGTCCAGGAGAAATACTCTCTAATAGAAAAGAAAGCTGTGCCTTCTCTCTCTCTCTCATGCACATATGTGTGCACACATGCACACACATACACACCACACACATGTTACTTGTCCACGTACAAACATTCACCACACACATCTCGTGCACACACAGGCGCACCTTTTAGGTTGTATGGATATAGCCACATTTTGGCTACAGGAGTCACTGTGGAGTCTGTTCTCAGTACTGATGTGCTGGTTCAGAAGCACGCAGAAGGCAGATGGCATTCTGGGGGTATGAGAAGACGATTGAAGATCCCCAGATGGCTTCAGCCTTCCCTAGATTCGGGCACGTGCCATGTGCTTATCTGTAAGTTGGATATTATGAGCATTTCTGCTTTTGCCCTCTGCGCAAACATACTACCATGCAAAACTGAGGCTGGGAAGGAAACAGCATCTTTTAAGCACCTGCCCCATGCCAGGGGCTGTGCTGGCTTCTCAAGTGACATCTGCATTCAGTACTGTCACCTCCCAGTGGTACGAGTAGGAATTTGATACAGGAGGAAACTCACATTCACGGTGTCGCTCTGTCCAGCCTCCTCTGGTCAGCAAGCGCAGAGCAGACCCCACACTGTAGGTGGCCCACCACCTCCATGATGGGCCCTTATGTTATGTGCAGTGCATGGACACAATGAGCCTCCACAGTGGTCAGGAATAGGGTCACCATGGACACGGAGAGTGAGAATGCAAGGCTTTTCGGTCTGGAGAGCCAGCAGATGGAGGGAGAAAGCTGCCAGCAACAGGGTCCTAAAGGGCTAACTCAGAGCCCTCTCAGCCATGAGCATCTGGGGTCTGTATTCCACTCAGTCAGGCCACACCAGCCAGGTCCCTGGTCTTGCTGGCTCCTGGAAGGTGGAGATGAAGAGGGGATGAAGAGCAAGTGAACGGTTCTACATTGAGTGAAAGTCAAAGCCAAAGCTGGAGACTGGGACTCAGCTCTGGAGATGTCATAATCTTAGCCTTTGCAGGAAGAGTCTGCTTCCACCCTCTGAAATCCGCACCCAGGGATGTCCAGACTAACCGCATCCTAGGTCAGGACCAAGCGGGGAATCTGTGAAATCACACCCACCCATGTGCAGGCGCAGGCCTGACCTCTCCAAGGTCTCACAGGCCCCTGGGCCTGAC